CAGAGAAACAAACGCTGGATATTCAGTAGAATTACGCAGTAAATCAGCAAACAGTAGCAAACAATAACAGTTCAGTCACAGGCACTCACAGTCAGTAATCACAGTTAGTCGCAGCAGCACACAGTAACAGTCAGACAGTAAGCTTTCCAGCTTCTAATGCTTCCTTATATTGTAACTTCTAACCGCACCCTTAATCGGCTAATTGCCTGCTGCATTGTGCTTAAAGTGATAAGCACTTAAACCATGATATCTAAGTTTTATATATTTATTCACCCAAACCATATTTGGTATCAATGTTATACCTAACAAGTATAAAGATTTAATACTCAACTTACAACCGTTCATTTAGTGACCATTGGATGAGTGGTGCGGTGGCCTAGAGGTGGAGCACTCGCCTCACAATCAGGAGGCTGTGAGTTCGATCCTGGTGTGATGACCCGGGGCATGACACAAAAATAACCAAGTCACAAAAATAGAATAAAGTCCCTTTAAGGCCTCCAACTTGGCCCCAATGTCCAATTATCCTAGGCTGGATATCAAACTCTTAAAGAAAACAGTCTACGGAGGGAGTAAATGCAGTCCGAACCCAAAGTAAAGTTAATTCAAAATTAATACAAACCACACTGAAGGAATTAATATAGCAGGCCAGGATGATTAATTGCAGACTTCTACCAGATAACGCAGCAACCAGTTGGGAGGAAGCCAAAACACAGATAAGCTCCGACAAGAATAATGCACACTTTGCTTCCAGCAACTTTGCCATGCGCAGTTTGTCCTTTTAACCAGTCCTCCCAACTGCAGCCCATGAAGGGGATCAGGGCCCCTTCCTCCCCTGTAGACCACACCAGTCACGTTTCTCCCTTATCCTCCCTGCGTGCCCTAGGATGAAGAGGGGATGGGCCTGGGTCTTCCTCTGAATGCCCAGCCAGCTTGTGCCCTTCCCCAGTTTCCTCCACAACCACCTGAGCCACACTCCCACTCCCTGTCAGCTGTTCCATCTCTCCCTCAGAGTCAGACTCCAACTGGGGCATGACACCTGGGTAGAGGCAGATATTTCTCCCTGTGGGCACAATGAGAATATATCTGCTGAACAAAACTCCGCATTGTGACAGGAAGGGCATCCGGTCAGTAAACACTCAGCTCCATTCAGTTGCCAAGACTCCACCCTGCAAGGGATTATGGGATTGTTAAAAGAAGATGATTTAGAGGCCATTTGAAGATATGCCAGCACTGAAAAAAGTGACATGACTGTTTTTCACACTTAATGACCATTGCAGCATTCCCCCCATGGTCACGTGATTAAAATTCAGATGCTCGGCAACCCACTCACACTTATGACAATTGTAATGTCCCGGGGATCATGGGATCCCCTTTTGCAACCTTCTGACAAGCAAGGTTTGGGGAAGCCAGATTCACTTAACAACTGCAGTGATTCACTAAACAACTGTGGCAAGGAAGGTCATATAATAGGGCAAAACTCACTTAATAAGTGTCTCACTTAGCGACAGAAATCTTGGGGTCAATTGTGGTCGTAAGTCGAGGATTACCCATATCAGCATGCAGGAACATCGAATATGTGCAGCTGGCTTAATCAGTTGTGGGAATTTCCCATGCTTTTTACTGCAGAAATCTCTTCTCTGAAGATTGCATCTGAGTGGCGGACAGCACTAAACACGGCCCTGGCCGAGGCAGAAAAACGATCCCTTCCCATGGAAGTCTTTAAGGTAAACCTTAATAAACCCTGATTTCTGCTTAATAAACCATTATTTCTTCTTTGAGCCATTTAAATTGCTGCCCTGCCATCCTCCTTTGATTTCCAGATTTGAAACTAGCAGTGGAGAATTTAGCATGGAAATGGTAGATATTCCTTTTTGAAATTTTCTTTCAATCTCTCTCTCCCCCTCCCTCCCCCCTCCTCTTCCCCCTCTCCCTCCCCCCCTCTCTCCCTCCCCCTCTTTCTCTCTCTCTCCCTCCCTCCCTCCCTCCCTCTCTCTCTCTCTCTCTCTCTGTTACACAGACACACACAAACACATACACCTCACCTTGGCGCCTTTAAAACCTGTGAATTCCCCATGCTGGCTGGGAATTCTGAGAGTTAGAATAGAATAACAGAGTTGGAAGGGACCTTGGAGGTCTTCTAGTCCAACCCCCTGCCTAGGCAGGAAATCCTACACCACTTCAGACAAATGGTTATCCAATCTCTTCTTAAAAGCCTCCAATGTTTGAGCATCCACAAATTCTGGGGACAAGTAATTCCACTGATTAATTGTTTTCACTGTCAGGAAATTCCTCCTTAGTTCTAAGTTGCTTCTCTCCTTGATGAGTTTCCATCCACTGCTTCTTGTCCTGCCTTCTGCTGCTTTGGAAGATAGCTTGACTCCATCTTCTTCTTTGTGGCAGCCCCTGAGATATCTATTCATTTTATTTTATTTATTTGTCAATCACTTACAAGATAATAGGTATAAGTATAAACATGAGTAAGAATACAGGAAATAGGTACGAATAAATGGGGACAATAGGACAGGGACAGTAGGCATGATGGTGCGCTTATGCACGCCCCTTACAGATCTTTTAGGAAAGGGGTGAGGTCAATAGTGGATAGTTTGAGGTTAAAGGAGTGCTTTCATGTCTCCCCTGGTCCTTCTCTTCACCAGACTAGCCATGCCCAGTTCCTGCAACCGTTCTTCATATGTTTTAGCCTCCAGTCCCCTAATCATCCTTGTTGCTCTTCTCTGCACTCTTTCTAGAGTCTCAACCATCTTTTTTGTAGTCTGGTGACCAAAACTGGATTAGGGTTAGGGTTAGTACTCTAGGTGTGGTCTTACTAAGGCTTTATGGAGTGGTATTGTTAGGGATAACATTGTTTACCCTAACTGGTTTGGGTAAAAATAATAAATATGGTATCATGGTTTGTTAGTTAAAGTGTGTGTAACTTTAACTGCAGGAATGTAATTAAGGGTGTGGTTGTAAAAGCACTATATAAGAAGCGAGGCAAATGCAGCTCGCTCTCTCTGGCTTACTGATCCCTAATTACTTGATGGATTGATGACTGCGTTATTGCTGGAAAGGGGAGAGAAGAAGGAGTGTTGTATTTTCTCAACGGAGAGAAAATAAAGATTGGACAGATTTATTGTAAGTGAACTGACATTGGCTATTCAATATGGACTTTGCAAATAGAGTATCCCCGACAAGACTTGACTGAAAATGATATATGACTAATGGACCGTTTATTTGACTATGCTATAATTCTTAAATGGAATAAACTATATTTTTAATAGCACAAGCGTATCTGTATTTTTACTGCGTGTTAACTAGAAAACTTATCTCACACATTTACCTGTCTTCCTATCTGACTTCGCTGCACGTTCTGTTTAGTTTGTTTTCCTTAACACCAGTTGGGGAATCCAGGCTTAACAGGTATTAATACCTCCCTTGATCTTGATTGAATCCCTCTGTTAATGCAACTTTTTAAAACATTTTATTTGTTTTGATTTGTCAGTCGCTTACAAGATAATAGGTATAAGTATATACATAGTTATGAATACATGAAATGGGTACATATAAGAAAAATAAAAGAAACGATAGGACAGGGACGGTAGGCACGTTGGTGCGCTTATGCATGCCCCCTACAGCCCTCTTAGGAAAGGGGTGAGGTCAATAGTTTGGGCTTTACGTGAGTTGCCTGTCCCTGGCAGGATGGACCAAAGCATCAGCTTGTTTTTTCCCTAGGATCATGCTGATTTGAGGAACCACTCATTCACGGCAGGGATGAAGTTGGAAGCAGTGGATCAACGAGAACCAGCCGCGATTTGCCCGGCTACTATAACTAAGGTGAGGAATCCAAAATGGGGTTGAGAATTAAAACCAGATCTTCCACAGTCAAGGCAAGGCATGTAGGTTTGAGGTCTCCTAGGGGCACCCCAGAGGCAACATAGATTTGTTCCATCCATCCATCCATCCATCCATCCATCCAGGAATTGACCTCTTCTGAGACCCCTGCTCCGAGTTTATCTCTAGAGTTCCTAAAACTGTCTCTTGAGTAGCATGGAGAAGTTTGGTGGAAATTCGGGAAATTTTCCTTTCTCA